CCGCCCCTCCTCCGGCCCGCGCCCTCCCCTCGGCTCCCCCCCTTCCCACTACGCCTGGCTCCCGCTCCCCCCTCCCGCCCCGCTGCGCACAGCTCCAGGAGTCCGTGCAGCCCCCTAGGTTCCCGGGCGCGCCACCCCCGGGGTCCCGGCCCAGAACCGCTGCCGCCCCGGCCGCTGCTCCTTTAATCTTTTTGTTTTGGTTTGAATCTGCTCGGCGCAGACTGGCCAAGGATCCTCTTCGCCCTCCCCCTTCCTCCCGGCGCCCGGGAGGCACCGGATATCCCCACCCTCCCCAAGCTCTAAAAGCCGGATTTGACTCCTCCAAAAGGGTGAGGGGGGCAGCGAGGGGACGCGCGCGTCCCGCGATTGCCGGGGCCCGGAGCCGGCGGCAGCCCGGGGCGTCCTCCGAGCAGCGCGGCGCCCGGCGGCCGGCGCAGGCGCCTCCCCTTCCCGTGCGAAGCGTTCACTTCCTTGCAAGGTGGTACGAATCAACCCCGAGCGCGGCCGGGGCTGCGGGGCACGGCCGGGGGCCCCGGCCGCGCGGGCAGCCCCTGCCTCCAGTGCAGGCGCTCCAGCACCGAACGCAGGGCGGGGGCGTCCAGTGCACCCTGCGCCCCCGCTCCTGGCCTCCTGGCCCCGGAACAGCATGCCCGCGCCTTCTGCCCTCAGTCTGTCCCATGCAAGTTGCACGAACTAAGCCATTTTATTTATTTTGGCCTAGATTTTTTGTTTTTCCGTGAATGTTTTAAGTAGCCTCTACAAAACTGTTACAGGTTTCCCGTTGGGAGGGAACACACATACTGGAAACCAGAGGGCCAAATTCGCAGAGCACATAAACATTTTAAACTTCTAGGTGGGGATGCCGAGGGACTTAATTGAACTGGAGACATTGCGATGATGTATGAAGACCTCATTTTATAACCCAGCTAGAAAGATCTGCAGTTCCATCGTGTCAGTTTTCTTCCTAATTGTCTGTATTGACCAAATAATCAATTCACTTTTCATAGAGGGACCAAATAAAATATTTTCCACATTTTTGTGTGCGGAGCTAAGTCTATCCTTAAATTTTTTATTAAAGATATACATTTTAATTAAAACAATCCTCTTGTTTTCCACTTACCCATGAATTACCAAAATATAAAAGCCACACAGTGTCCCTCCCCAATCAAATCTAACCCCCAAACTAAGATTGTAAAAGTGACACAGGGTTTTTATCTTAGATGTAGGACATTCTTCATCCAAGGGTAGTTTGTGTCCACGTGGGTGCGTGTCTATGAATGTACGGGGGGGAGGGGGGCTACTAACAGGTTTAAAAATCCGCAGGAACTAGTGTCTACTTAACTTGGCTTAGAACACATGGGTTTTACCCAGTATCAGCCAGTGGATTGCAATAACAAACCCCTCAGTGTCTTCCTCCAATGTGCAATCTTTTATGTTATGCTGTATTAAGATTTCTTTTTTGTGTCATATTGTTTAGCTCCAGGAAAAAAAAAAGAAAACAAAGCAATTAAAAAGATTGACAGGTATGGTTTGTGAGAGACCTATTTGTAATTGTCAGGGTGACGTTGGCGAGAGGAGGAGGAGTAAAAACTGAACCAGGAAAAGCAGCTCGATGTGTCTGTCTATCAGTTGAGACTGTCTGAAAGCTCTGCGATCCGAATGTGTGTTATATTTCACTGAAAAGAGGAGAGAGCGAGAGTGCATCTCCCTCTCTCCCAGGAGTTTGGGGGGGATAGTCCACGCTCATCTCGCCCACCCAGTGAATGTCTGCTCTTCATCCCTTTGCACACACTCTCCGGGTTGTTGTTGTTGGCTTTTTTTGTGTGTGTGGGGCGGGGTGCTTTTTTTGTATTTTTCAAAATTTTTCTGTTGGAAGATCAAGACCGGCCAAAAATCCACGATCAAAATGTGTTTGCATTAGATTTCGCATCGGAAGAAGCGGCGATCCTGGCGGCAAAGCCCCGCGGGGAGCGCGGGGCACCAAGTGGCGCTCCTGCGGGGTGACACTGTTTGATCTGTGACTGTTTGGAAGGTGGAGCAGCGCCTGACATCTCCCCCCGGCGCATGTATGTACGGGGGCTTCACTCCTCTGTCTTGTTTGCTTTCTTCCTCTTAGACTAAGTCCGGGGAGGAAAAGGACAGCCTGGATCGGCCTCGCTGGCGCACAATGAGAAAGCTGCCACCCGCGCACTGAAAGCACTCGCCGCGACCCCCGGACCGCGAGGAGAGAGGGGGAGAGAAAGTTGCGCTCGGAGACTCTCGGCTCAAGGAGGAAGGCGCAGGGGAGCGCCCGCAGC